CCCACCGTGTATTAAGCCCTGTAATATGACATCAATGTGGATTTAGAGCTAGCTGTATTAAAAACTACTTAATAATATATTGATGTACCGAGTTTAATCAAAGTCGTCAGAGCCGTTTTCGAGAAAATCGTAAAAATGTGTATCACCGTTGATATAATATGGCACTTCCGGTTAGCCTATTTTAAAGAAAAAGTTGCTGTCACATCCTAACTAAATACAAATCTTAAATACGCAATTTATGTTTTGTTTTTGAACTAGGCTTTCACACACACATACAGACCATTTTGCGGAACTTGGTTATTTCGACTCAAGGGAGCTCAAAACATGTATTTCCGTTGAAAGCTGAGATTCGTAATTTTTTCACGATCGGAATACTTTCTCTTACTATGTATTGCATATATAGGTAAGTGGAAGTAAAAATATCTAATGAGAGTGGATGAGATCTACAAGAAATGGTTTTTTAAGGAACTTGGAGAGGGCAATATGCTTTGGCGTCCAGGGGGGGTTAGGAATCTAGTTAAATTTCAAAAAATGGATATTATATATGAAGAGTAATTGGAAAATGGGAAACAGAAGAAAGAAAAGTATTATTTTTAACACAGGAGTAACTTTAAGAAAATATTTCACCACGGTCCGAAGTCGCTTGGATGCGAAGTGGGTTATCCCGGATTATTGGGTCTCTCAGTTCCTTACATGGCATGGGGGTTTCCGCGCTAAGTTGCATAGTTTTGGAAAATACATAGATCCCCTCTACCCTGCATGCGGAGTACCGGAGACGGCTGAGCATTCCATAGTCAACTGATGGACTAAGGGCCGGAAAATCGGAGTCTATGGCCTCACGGAGGATGAATTTCCCCAGTTAGTGGAGGAGCAGAACTACCCGTATTACAAAGAGTTTGTGAACGGGTGGAAAACTGCTCTGGGGCCCGCCCATTCAAGAAAACGACCTGCTAATTGAAGGCCGTCAAACTGATATTGTGAAAAGAAAAAGAGTTTTGATAAAAAAATCGAGATCGTTAAAGTACACGTTGTGATATGCCATCCCTGCAAAATCCCGTTTAGCCTAAAGGCAAGGAAGAGAGGAATAAATAAAAAAATAATTACTTTTAACATGTAAAGGAAAATCTCCTATCAAAGAGAAGAATTTGTGAAATGTATATTTACCAAAAGAAAGATCCTTAAATGAGATTGAAATGTTTTAGCTTCTAATATAAAGAAAAACACAGTTAAGTGAGAGGAAATAGACACATGAGTAATAGAAATATAGTTTCTGATTTAGATTCACTTCTGGTCATGACCGCAATTGTATAATGCAATATCGTTGAGTATTTGTTACTTTGTTATGTGATTAATATGTAAAGTTCTGGTCTAACACTTGTTTAACAGTTACTTTATAAACAATTGTACATTTTTATCCTCACGGATACACTTTTTTTTTCCTAGAGACTGTTTTATTTTTATTTTTCCTTGATTTTATATTTCCAGAAATGTTTTATTTTATAGCTGTATGTAGATATTTATATGGTTTATTTATTTTAATAATTTACTTCGTAAATTCTCATGGTCAGGGATCAACCCCTGAAACACAAAAAATAACTAATTAAAACTGTTGCTTTATTCAGAACTTCACCACTATTTTATGGCCTCCATTTTGCTGCAAACCATTCCTGTAGAGTTAATCTGTTCATTTGGTGAAGGTGCTCTCTTAAGAAATGGCAAGAAAAGAAAATATGAGTTGCTAAACTTTAAGAAAACAGCCCGGTGGAGGAAGTATGGGGAGGAAGAAGGGGTGGCCAAAATCGTGAAGCTCATTTTCACATAGAAATTGAGTCCAAATTGACTATCAAGCAATATGAAATTAATCTGTAAAGAACCACAAAATTGTACAAAGGCACAAATTTCATTTGTATTATTTTATTCATCATATGCAATATAATAATGTTCTCAATATTTTGTTTAATTTAATCAAGTATCAAATGTTAGTGATCCAATTTCATACAGTGCACACCAATTTTCAAAATCACCAGCGCACACAGTTCACATACAGATCATTCGGTAATATTTGGCTCACACCAAATTACCGTGATCGAACACTCATCTTACTAATTGTCATCGCTAGGTTTATATATATTTTTTTCCTCTTATCATAAATATCGACAATATGAAATGAAAATATTTTTTTTATTATCCTGGGACTGTTGCCTCTTTAGGACAAATTACAGATACAGAATAAATGCCTGTGTGGCCATACATAAAATTAATTATTTACATATATTATTAAGATTAAGATTTTGAAAAAATAATAAAACAAAGAATATAACTATTACACTAAAAACATTCTGATATGTATAATACAAACTATATAATAAAATAAAATAGCATAAGTAAAGAAAGTCATTTCTGGGGAAACTTTAAAAGTTCTCTTATCTACATTTCATGATCAATCGGGTTGGAAAAGGAATAAGTGGTTAAAAAGGAGAGATTTAAATGAGGAAACTGATTGTACGTGTCGGATGTCGGGAGGGATGGTATTCCAGAAGGAGACGGCTTGAATTATAAAGGATTTGTCAAACGCTGCAGTTCGGTGGGGAGGTGGATAGAGGTCGGAGGTACGAGATCTAGTGAGACGGGATTGAATGGAATATTTGAATTGTAGATTGTAAAAAATATAGGAAGGCCGCTGAGTTCTGATGACTTGGTATAGAAAAGTGGCAAGGAAGTACAAACGGATGGATAGAGCCACTTCAACTTGGTGTAATACTGGGTTATATGCGTATCTCTTGAGATTCCGAAAACAAAACGTATTGCGCAGTTCATTAGGAGTTTAAGTTTGGCCTCGAATTCTCCCGAGTGTCCGCCGTACACCAGTCAGCCATAGTCGAAGTGGGGGAACACAAGGGAGGAAACCAGAAGTTGACTGGATTTATATGGAAGGAGATGCTGATATAAATGGTGATAAGAACTCATCAAGCTAAGAAACAGGAGAAGATACGCCCTTTTCTGAAATTAGGGAAACCGACTCGAAATAATTGGAAAGACGTACTCTACAAAAATGTCGCGGAAACTCTCTACCTGGGTCGGGGAACCACTTACCAAACAAGAAGAAAAATAAATCGACGAAACCCAAATAGTCGAATGAGCAAAATAAATCGACTAAATGAAAACAGTCAGCCGAAACCAACTCTTCACCTAAAACTAGAAGTAAATTAAATATCTTAAACCAATATCGGAGCCAGCGAGAATTCCGCTTCTGCTATCAACACATCAAACAAGACTTCGCTGCCTCAAGATATTCCTGACCCCGAGCCGTCACCTTTATTTGTTTCTATAATTGATAATTTCATCTCATTTGGCCAAGAAATCGCAAATCTTATCGGACAAACAAATTGTTGATGTTTTTTTCCAGAATCAATGACGTCAAGACCAACACAAATTCTAAAGAAATCTATAAAATACTTATGATTATACTTCACAACTAAAAGCTATGATTTCTATTGCTACCAATTAAGAGAAGAAAAGGCAATCGAGTGGTTTTGAGAGGTCTTTACCCTACCACCCCGATATCTGTTATCAATACAGACCTAGAAGAAATAGTTACCAATGTCAGCCATATTTCATCCGTACTTTATCCAACAGAAAAATGTCCAGTAGCTCTATTTCTTGTCTATCTACAGCCTGTCAGCTCTAGATTGTTTCTTTTATTGTCTTAACTGATAACAATGAAAATCATAGTTTATGATTTTAAGTATTTAAGTAATTGATCAGTGTTCTGTTGTTTGTGTTTATTTTGATATCATTAAGTCGTTCTATGCAATCAGATTGGCAATTTCTTGTCTAAAGGTGATGAAATAATCGATTTTAGATACGAAAATAGGTTGCGGCTCGGGCTGAGAAAACTCTTGAGGCTCCGGAATCTTGTTTGATGATTTACTAACCGGGGAAAGGATTATTGGTGGCAGTAGTGGTTGGTACAGTTGGCTCTGGTAATTGATTTGCTTCTAGTTTGACATGGTGATTTATTTTGCTCTGCTAACTGTTTAGTTTTAGTAGATTTATTTTATTCGGTTGACTTTTTAGAATTATTTTGCTCTGCCAACTATTTGGGTTTAGCTGATTTATTTTTTTTCTTGTTGGGTGAATTACCTCCAGACCCAGAAGAGGTGTTTCGATGACGTTTTTGAAGTGTCTGTCCTTTTAAATATTACGAATCTTCACTTGACGAACTCTTATCCAGATTCATATTTTCTATAATTTGATAAGAGAGATAGAGAGAGAAAATAAAACGTATACCTAAATAAGACAATTAGAAATATGAAAGTTTAGGAAATAAATTATTTAAAAAATAAACTGTTTACATAACTATACTTAGAAATAAAATAAAATATATTAGATTAAATAAACAAATTAAAACAAAGCAGTCTCTAGGGAAAAAAAGGTAGATATTGGCTTGGATTGGAACTGAAGACCTGATGACTGAAGGAAGTTAGTAAGCAGATTCCTCGACTGTGAACTTGTCGCAATATGATGAGGCACGGAAGAGAATTAACGGCCTCTCGATCTAACCAAATAAGCACTAATTTATCATTTGTTTCTTGTTAATAAATAGTACCTCACCTGAGTGTTCGTAACATAAAAGTGTATAACTGTTTATTAAGTGACTGTTGATAGAGTCTTACATTACAACTTTGAATTTTAAGCACATTACTAAGTAACAAATACAAAGCGAAATGACAGTTATACTGCACTTGCAGTCATGACATTTGCTACGTATTATATATTAAATTAAATATAAATATAAAGAACTGAAAGAAAATATATTTAACAATGTTGTTGCACATCCCTTACAATTTAAATGAGATTACGAAGTTTTGTCTACTTATATTAAACACTTCCATAGTAAATTATAGTTCTGAAAACATATATTAATGTAATTTGTCAAAATGAAGTTGAAACAATGTGGTTATTACTACGGGGTGGATTGAATAATATCGGAAAATGATTTATTTAATTGAATGTTTTTTTTAAACTTCTTTATTGAGATATTACAATCTGCCACATTCAAGGACAATAGTAATAGTGATATAGAGTAGCTCATTCATACCATACAATAAATAAAAATAATAAACGGCAATATAATAATATTACCGCTTCGGTGGTACATATACTATTTAATTAAAAACATATTTTATTTATTTAAATGTAAACTCATTTCTTAAGTTCTGCATTCAAGTAGTCTTCTGCTTAAGGCGTAATGCAGATACTTACTTCAGGGATGCTTTCTGAAAAGAAAATGGAAAACCATTTTTATAACATTGCTGTCACAGGAAATTATTAAGTATACATTCTGTATTCTTACCTGCAATAGCCTTCTGGATCCAGCTGCTGAAAGCAAAGATGTCGGTATTCACTGAAGGTCTTGGATCACTTCCACAAGCAGGGGGTCCATAGGAGACCAAAGCCACTTGGACGAACCTGTCGATGACAGGGTCCAGGTGGTATACCAGAGGACCGCCCGAGTCTCCCTGTGCAGACCAAAGAGTCAATTAGTGCTTAGAATATCAGTTCATTAATATAAGGGAAAAATATCAATTAAAAACAAAAAAAGTATCACTAGTTAGTTTGTTTTATTTTGGAAACATCACTTTTTGTTAGCTAATTTAATTTCGTGTAAAGTTAATTATCTTAATGAATACTTAATAGTTGACCGTTTTATTATTAAGGAAGGAGATGGTCCGGGGTCGTGGTCAAAAATAGTGGCAAAACTAGTTTATTAAAAGTCAACGTTTCGACCCGACTTTGCATGTCTTCTTCACGGCTAGAACGGACAAGATACAAACAGATATAGAGAATTGTGGAAGTTACATCATATTTAGATAAAAAATTATAAACAATGTGAATAAACTTATAAATTATAAACTGTATAGATTATTAAGAACAACAGTTGTATAAACATAGTAAGCTAGGTAACAAGACCTTAAACTGAAGTAAATAGGTGTTTGTAGTATAATATAATAATATGCAATTGTTGTAGTATAATATTTTATTTTTTATTTTATTTATTTATACATGATATTTACAACTGTATTAAAAAATTAAATACATTAAGTAAATAAAAACATGAAATGACTTGTTGAGAAACTACCCACTGGTAGCACTCTAAAAACAAAATGTATTTACAATAAGAGATCTCGAGGCCATCTTCTTTTCAGACGCCTCGGAGGGTTATCAGGAATAGAAGAGGAAGCAAGCTTAGAGACGAGAGGATTCGGATGGTTCTGAAGTTTATTATGGAAAGATTGGTATCTGGATTGGGCCAAATCGGAAACATAAGAAACATTAAGGTCATTATGGATTATTTTATTGGTGACAAAGTAAGGAGCATTGAGGATTTTCCGAAGGATATTGGATTGTAAGGATTGGATACGAGAGGAATTTGATGGCTTAGTGGAGCCCCAAACCTCAACTCCGTAAGTCCAAATAGGTCTTATTGTAGTCATGTATATAAGTCTTTTGTAATTTACTGGAAGCTTAGAGCGTTTGTCTAGTAAGTGTTGGAGTAGTCGGAAACGTCGAGCGGTTTCTTGTCGTTTCAGTCTGGTATGAGGATTCCAAGTTAGACGTTTGTCCAAGTGAAGTCCAAGGTATCGGATTTGTTCAACAGGGATAAGTGGGGTATTATTAAAGGATACTGTGGGACATGAGGTCATAGGTTTACGTCGAAGGGTAAAGGTGATTTGATGGGATTTATTAGAATTTATTTTAATCCTCCAGTTTTTACACCATTCTTCAAGGCTTGTGATGTGCGATTGAAGAGTTTGGGATGCAATGGTTGGGTCATTATTAACGGATAGGACACATGTATCATCGGCATACGTGGTAATAACAGTGTTAGGATGGGTTGGGATGTCAGCTGTATAAACTGTGTAAAGGATAGGACCAAGGATACTACCTTGAGGAACACCAGCGGACTGGGAAAAGAGGGATGAATAAGCATTATTGTGATTGACTTTTGAGTATCTATCAGTTAGATAGGAACGGATAATGAGGAAGTATGTAGGGTGTAGGAATTTACGGAGTTTGTAAAGTAATCCCGGGTGCCAGACTCGATCAAAAGCCTGTTCTACATCGAGAAAGACTCCCGTGCAGTACATTCCGCGCTCTAATGCAGAGGAGACAACATCCACCACACGATGGCATTGCTGGATAGTGGAATGGGATCTGCGGAATCCAAACTGGTTATCTGGGATTATGTGATTAGAATCTAGGATTGGGTACAGGCGTTTTAGGATGAGTTTTTCTAGGACTTTTCCCATGATGGGTAAAAGAGAGATAGGACGGTAAGAGGATGGGTATTCTGGTGGCTTTTTGGGTTTATGTATCATTTTGATAATGGATAGTTTCCAAGGGTCGGGAAAATATGTTGATCGGAGTACAGCATTATATATATATATATGTAAGGAATAGAATGGCTTTCCGAGGAAGTAGTTTTAGGATCTGGGATGTAATTAGGTCGTGTCCAGGAGCTTTGCGGGAAGGTAACCTGTGAATGATGTTGGATATTTCTGAAGGATGAAAGGCTTTAGGAGGAGGATTCATTTGGAGTGGGATATCCATTTCTGCTTCAATACATTCAAGGTGATTTGGGTTAAGAATATCGGGATGTGGATTAAAGGTTTTAAAGAGGTGGTGGGCAAATATTTGGGATTTTTCTTCGTCGGATTTGGACCAGGTTTGGGCTTCAGTGAGTAGTGGATGGTTGCAGTCCTTAAATTTCAGGAGCCTTTTAGTGGTCGTCCATAGTTATTTATCGGTAGGTGTAAGTTTTTCAGTAAAATTTAGTAAATTTTGAATTTTGTATTTTCTTATTTCTGATTTCAGTTTGTTAGTCAGTTGGGTGTAATGCGCTTTATCTGTCGTGTATCTAGTTCGATGCCACTTCGATCTTGCTCTGCGTTTTTCCTTTAATAAGATGCGAATATGCTGTGGCAAGTTAGTATTTTGTGGTTTGTTAATCTTATTGATAAAGGTATTATTATTTATACTGTCTGTTATTGTTAATGTCAGTTTTTCTATGGCACCATTAATGTCTTCTTTTGTCTTTAGCGGAATTTTGAGGTCAAGTTTGTTTTCCAAATCATCACGAAATTTGTCCCAGTTTACTCGTCCAGTGATCAGTTTGGGAGGTGATGGTTTAGGAGCAAAGTCAGAATGTAATGAAAGCAGAACCGGCCTATGGTCTGAAGAAAGGTCATCCAGGGATTTGATTATAGTTTGGGAGGAGGAAATCTGGGAGGTGATAAATATATTCAGGATATCGGGACGTTTTTTGAGGGATGTTGGCCAATAAGTAGGACTCATGGGCGAGAGGATTGAATAACTATTAGAAGATGAGAGATGGGAAAGGATGTTACCGCGGGAGTTGGATGTTCGACAACCCCACCGTTGGTGTTTAGCATTGTAATCTCCTCCAGCAATAAAGCGCGATCCGAGGGATTGGAACAACGTATCAAGGAGATTAAAGGAGAGGGAATTACCAGGAGGACAGTATACAGCTGAGACTGTGAAATGGAAAGGGCGAGTTGAAAGGATTAAAGAAGTTGATTGAATGGCGTCAGTTGGAGTGGAAGGAATAAGGGAATGGGCTAAAGATTTATGTATAAGGATGCAAGAACCGGCGTGGGCAGTGTTGTCTGGATGGTCAGATCTATAAGTGATGTAGTCTCGTATGTGAAAATGTGTCCGTTTTGTGAAATGCGTTTCAGTCAGTAGAGCTATATCAATGTGATTGTCATGAAGGAATATGTCAAGTTCGTCACGATGGTTGTGTAGTCCGTTAGCATTCCATAAAAGGATAGTTAGGGGCTTTGTGCTCATCGAGGGAAATTAAACGGAATTTCGGTCAGGATTCTGGTTAGTAGAGTGATAAGAGGTTTTATGGTGTTTTGGAGATCCAATAGGAAGGATGATAGAATGGAAGTTAGATCAGATGGATGTTGATTGTGAAGTGGATTTAGGATAGGTTCAGGTGGCGGGTAAGGAGTGTTAACTGAGAGTGGGATTCGTTGTTGTGTACGAGGTGGGACTGGATTCGACGATACTTGTGCTGGGTTTTTTTTCTGGGCATTAGGATGAGATGGGTGCGATTGCTGTGGCGGTAATTTGACTCGTAGAGGTAGATGATGAGGGGGAATTTGCTGACGCGGAGGATGAAATATGAGAGGATTGGGAGTATGAGGTTTAGCTTGGGAGGCCTGAGGTAGTATAATATAAAATATAATATATGCAACTGTAAATATACTCCTACAGATCTACAGGAGAGATTGGAATAAAAGGAAAAATGATATAATATGAAATAATGGACATTAAGAGATGTGGAGAAAGAAAAGAAATAAAGAAGAAAAAAAAATTAGTAAATAAAATTAAAAGAATAAAAATCGAGACTTACAGGTGTGTTCAGCAAGGAGTTTCACTTACAACTGGAAAAACATGGGTAAGTACTCGAGAAATTTGCTGACATGGTTGGGAAATGGTGAGGGGGTAAGTAGTAAAAGTAAAATAGTAGTAAAAAGTAAAACCTGGAAAATTACAGTATCTAAAATTTGAAGATGTGGATCGATACGAGGAAAAACACTAACAAATGTAGTATAAATGTGAAGAGTACAATTTGAATAAAAACAAAAGTGAAAGGACGATATGCGAGTTACCCCTGAGGTACAGTAGTTAGAGTAATAAAATCTATTGCCCACCGCCGAACCAGGGAAAATTAACACATTGCAAGTTACTTACGTTGCACGAGTCTTTTTTTAAAGCAAAGGCGCAGAGCTGATTTGGGATTTTACTGAGTGGCCAGCTCCGTTCGCACTCACTTCTGCTGATAACTTCGACGTCAACCTCGTTAAGGACGTTACCGTCCCCTGTACCTTTGGTCATTCCCCAACCTAAGCGAAAGATAATTGTTAATTTCAGTGGTAATAAATGATGTTAATAGGGCAGATTCAATATACAATAACGATACCTATAACCTTGACTAACTTTCCTAGGATATCCAATTGACTGTTGGGCAAACAGATTGGGCCGACATATCGGTTGAATTTTATTGGAGTTGCAAGGACGAGAACGGCTATATCATTTAAAGGTTTATCGCCATTGTTATCATAGTTCTCGTGTTGAATTGTCCTAGCAACACGATGTTTTTCCATGTTCTCGTTTGCTAAAAAAAAAAAAAAAAAAAAAAAAAAAAAAAGTCATGAAACAAATTTTAAAATGTTTGAACGCTTTGTATTTTTATTTAATGGATCATAGCAGGTCAGTCACAAGTAAATTAAAATAAAACCAAATATGATTGAAAGCCAAAAAACTATTTCAACAACAGGATCTGTATCTGTAAGAAATTCACTTCCTGAGATGGTTTTATTAGAGCATCTCCTAACTTTACTCTGGGGAGAAACCCCACCATTTTTCCTTTAAAAACAGGAGTAGAGTCTTCTGAAAATTTAAAGAAAGTTTATTTTCCTGGCACCATTGCAAGACAATGTCAGTGACTTCCGCTTCCCTTATTTTTAAATCTTGTTGTGATTTTGCCTCTATTCAAACAGTAAACTCGTCCACGTAAGCAGATGGCGTATACCTGGCAGCTCTCAATTTAACAAGGAAAGTGTTCATGTTGATATTCCATAGGGGGAGTCTCAAAGCTGATCCCTGAGCACAACCCCGCTGAACTGGTAGATTTGCCAACTAATATGGCAACAGTCAATCATAACGGCAATCTGAAAAAAAAGGTTACTACACATAACACCCAAACGAGATTCTAACAAAAAGGTTACTACACATAATACTCAAACGAGATTCTAACAAAAAGTTTACTACACATAACACCCAAACGAGATTCTAACAAAAAGGTTACTACACATAACACCCAAACGAGATTCTAACAAAAAGGTTACTACACATAATACCCAAACGAGATCTTAACAAAAAGGTTACTACACATAACACCCAAACGAGATCCTAACAAAAAGGTTACTATACATAATACCCAAACGAGATCCTAACAAAAAGGTTACTACACATAACACCCAAACGAGATTCTAACAAAAAGGTTACTACACATAACACCCAAACGAGATTCTAACAAAAAGGTTACTACACATAACACCCAAACGAGATTCTAACAAAAAGTTTACTACACATAACACCCAAACGAGATGGAATATTGCAAAAAGAAGAATTATCAAACTATTCACTAATTTAATTTTCTAAAAGGTTACATGATGATTTTTCGGAATAAACGGACGATAGATATCTAAATATTTAAATATATTATGAGATCTAGAGTTATTAAACTACAGTAAATATATTTAGGGTTATAAACGTGTCTATGAAATATTTTTGCATTTCACTTCTTTTTTCACACAAGTACAATAAAATGGTAGAGGAATATCACAAAGAGAAGATCTATCGAATTATTCTCTAATTTAGTTTTCTAAAAAGTTATATGACAATATTTTGGAATTAACTTTAATACCCAATTATTTATAGAGAAATACTTTATTAAAAGTAATGCTGCCCTACTACATAGGGTTGTTTCGTACACAGCATACTTATCAATCTATACGGACATTAATTTTATATTATATTTTTCTTTTTTTTTCTCCCCCTTCATAAAAATACTCTTACAAATTATCAACAATAAGCCATATTAAACAATAGACATAGCATAATAAACACTTTCCCAAAATAAAAAAAAAATCCTTTTTTCTCTTTAACTTCTCAAACGCCAGGAACGCAATATAACATCGCACACATATATAACACAGCAATTCCTTGAATGTAGCCAAAAAGATAAGACGATTATGGACCAATTTAAAATTTATTAAATAATTACTAAACTACAGTAAATGTATTTAATATTATAAACACATGATTTATACATCCATGAAATGATTTTATATTTTATTTCTTCTTTCACACAAGTACACTGAAATAGTTTTTTTAACAATGCCATCAAGTTGCTTAGGTGGATTTTAAATACATTTAAAAAAAATTAGCATTACCTTATTAACACATTCCAAATTCAAAAACCGAAACAAAGGATATAACCATAGCAGCAGAACGTATTAAAAAAAACTAGAGACCATATCTTATCTCCTAATTATCCGATTTTAACGATTTTTTTTTGTTTTTTAGGCTATTCCATAAACTTTTAGAAAACCACAAACTTTTCTCCTTTATTAACTTATCAAATTCTTTCAAAAGTTATATTTAGCATTTTTTCGTAACTCTGAATAATGCGAAATAATTATCTTTTTAAAATAAACCATATTAAAGGTAAATAAACCATATCAATTCTCCCTCTTTAAAACTCAGCAAATTTCTACTCCCATCTTTACAAATCCTTAGTCATGACAATCCATATGATATCCACAACTCCTTTCATCTACGTAATCTGTTATTATCCCTAACCATTCCCGATAATTACATTCTAGTCTCCTTCGACGTTAAAAGCCTCTTCACCAACATCTCTATAGATAAAGCCCTTCTTATAATAGAAAATAACTGGCCATCCTTAGAGTCTCATACCTCCCTTAACCGTTCCTCATTTATTGAATCCCTACAACTCTGTTGCAAATCTGGTTATCTCCAGTTCCATGGACAATTTTATAATCAAATTGCATGATTAGCTATGGGTAATCCTCTCGCACCCGACTTATCTAACATTGTTCTTAATGATCTCCTAAACACCCTAGCCCCACAGTTTCCTAATGACATATTTCTTATAAAAAAATACGTCGATGACCTTCTTCTCATCGTCAATCCTGATACTATTCCTGACATCCTTTCCGCCTTTAACTCATATCATCCCCGCCTCTCTTTTACAGTTGAATACGAAGAAAACTATTCCCTCCCTTTCCTCGATCTTCTCATTAAAAGACATCCCAACAATACTTTATCCACAGACTGGTACACAAAACCGACATACTCTGGCAGATTACTCAACTACTATTCTCAACACCCCTTTCACCAAAAACTTAACGTTGCCAAAAACCTCATTCACCGATGTTTTTCTCTATCTGACCCTTACCTACATGAAACAAACACTAGACGCATACAATGGATACTATTGTCTAATAACTTCCCCTCCAACACCATTAAAAAACTTATTACTAACTACAAAACCCGCCCCTCATGCTCCATCCCTTTCTCTAGTTCTCAAAATCAGCCCCCCATTCCTTTATATAGATCTCTACCATACATCCCTTTACTTTCGGATAGAATTCAAAAATCTTTACGTTCCTCTATTCCCAACCTGCGAGTTGCTTTTAAAAACTATAACAAACTTGCCAATATTTACTCCAACCTAAAAGACCCCATCCCTCCGCAACACCGCTCTAATATCGTATACCGCATTTCTTGCTCTACCACCAATTGTAACTCTGCCTATATTGGAGAAACCAAAAACCAACTTAAAGACCTCATCAAACAACACAAATACTCAATTACTTCTAAGAACTCTACTGCTTCTAAACTCTCTGAACACGCCTTAACCTCAAACCACACATTTGACTTTGACAATACCTCCATTCTTGCCACAGTACCTAACCACGACAAAAGACTACTTACGGAAAGTGTTTTCATTCATTTAGACTACAAACCACTTAACTTAAAAACCGACAAGCAAAATCTATCACTCGCCTACTCCCAAATCATCAACATTTTAAAAAAGTCTCGATCATAAACCTCTATTTAATCTTCTCACTTCCATTTATACTTTCTTTTACTTTTCCTTTCATATATATATATATATATATATATATATATATATATATATATTATTTTATTTTATTTTATTTATTTTTTTTTTATTTATTTTTTTATTATTTATTTATTTATTTTTTTTTTTCATTCAATTAGACTACAAACCATATGTGTTGTGTACATATATGTATATATATATATATATATATATATATATATATGGATGTGTATATATATTTATATATATATGTATGTATGTATATATATATATATATATATATATATATATATATATATATATATATATGTATATGTATATGTATATATATATATGTATATGTATATGTGTGTGTTTATATGTGTATATATGTATGCGTTTATTTTTACTAGAACTTTTTTTGACACTGCTAAGTAGAGTTTTTTGACACTGCCAGTGTTTCAACTGCCTCCCGCAGTGCCACATCCTACGGTATGTTTTGACTTTTATTGTGATTCTTTTCTTAACACACCTATCATTCAACTATTCACCTTATTATTATCTTCATGCAGCCTACCATTCCATTACCGCTTTCAAAAAACTAAATGTCAATTGTCATCTATATATAGTACAACCTGTTTTTTGTTTCTTTATAACCTTGTTTTTACATTTATTCTTACATTTTAAAGTATTCTTTTAAAATTATTGTTTTCTTATAGAGTTATTTATACTTAATAATCTATCCCAACAATATTACACTAATGTAATTAACCCTATTAATCTTTCAATTTCTTCACTTCTTAACCTTTGGTGCCGTTATCTGTTTATTTACAATTAAAGGTAACCTCCACTTGCTTGTTATCCACTGATATCTTATTATTATGTTATCTTATCCATATTTTAACTTTACTGTAACAATAGTTATTCAATTTTCAATCTATTTATTCATTAACATTCATTTATTCGTTAACATTCATGTATTTATTTTCTTTTATCTATTTTCTTATCATGTATTTATTTTCTTTATCTTTTATTTCTGTATCTGACAACTTCTTCGTAATTTATATATACTTATATTTATTTTTTATTTTATTTGTATTTTTTCAACATGTTTGTATCTTTTGTAGCCCTGAAGACGACCTGCAAAGTGGGTCGAAACGTCGGCAAAAATTAAAATTATTTATATATTTTAATTTTTTTTATTTATTTGACCGCACCCTCGACTAACTCCTTCTCACATATTAAAGGTACTTTAGAGGAAGACGTATATGAACATTGGGCATTTAAGCCCTGTAAAGTGACATCAATGGGGATTAGACCTAATTTATATTAAAGACCACTTAATTATGCAATGATACACCGAGTTTAATCAAAATCGTTAGAGCCGTTTTTGAGAAAACTGTGAAAATGTGTTTCAGCGTTGATATAAAGTGGCACTTCCGGTTAGCCGATTTTAAGGAAAAAGTTGCCGTCACAAC